AAGAAGGCTTATCATCAGTTAGCTCTTCAGGTCCACCCAGACAAGAACCCAGAAAACAAGGAGGCAGCTGCGGAGAAATTCAAACAAGTAGCTGAAGCCTATGCTGTCTTGTCTGATCCCAAGAAACGCAACGACTATGACAAGTCCAGAGGGAACCACATCAAAAGGGAAAATAGAGGAGATGGCAGAGACGAAAACTATTTGAAGGAAGAACTATGGTTTGAGAGGCCACACTGTGGTTTTCAAAATGTCTTTGAAGAAGAAGACCTCTTCTTGGGAGATTTTCCCCCCACTGGCCATGAAGGTAGAGCCAGGAGATTCCGCTCTTCCTTCTTTGATGTGACCCCCATCTTGGACACGGGATTTTCTACTTTTGTATCCCTGGGCTCCAGACCAAGTTCTTCTTCCTCTAGGACATTTGTCCCCTTTGTAAGCAGTGGGATGGGAAGCTTCAGACTGACCACCACTTGTAGCCAGATAGTAAATGGCAAGAGAGTTGTTACAAAAAAAGTTGTAGAAAATGTGAGAGGGAAGACTGAAGTGCAAGAAGAAAGCCTATTCCATCAGATTCCTCTACGTCGCTGGTAAGGAGTTGCTGCTAAATTCTTTCACAGGCAGACTTTCCTATAAAGCTGGTGAGCCTGATGCTTACCAAAGACAGAATTTGAATCTGAGAGTGTGTTGAACTTGAATGGATGGGTCAGCTTAGTCCAAACATCTCATTTTACAGAGGAAGAGAATAATGTTCTGTACATTATACAAAGAACTAGAAAGCAGCAGAGTTTGGCCTTTAGGACCAGGTCTTCTGATTCTAAATTGACCCTTTTCCTCGCACCATAGTGGGGCAGTAGAGGCCACCACCACAGATACAGCCTTCTGAGTCAGGTCCCTACCAGCGTGAATCCCATTGACTTCTCGACTTTTATCCGCTCCCCCTCGCTGCTGTGCAGTTACCTCTTTTTAAAGGGTCACACTTTTTCTCTTTCTAGCCTTTCTCTTAGTTTCTTTTCATCCCACCTCATCTTCTTTCTTCCTGTACATTTCCAATGCACTATATCACAATTAGGTTCAACTGAATGAGTTACCTAGGTATAGAGTGTTAGCAGAGAGAAAGAGTGAAAAGTAAATGGGTTAAGATCTTTTATATAGTTTTTTTAATAGCCAGCACTTATTAAGTGCTCAGTAGATGTCAGGACTTCTACTTCATGAGTGTTATCTCAATAATACTTCAGTAGTGGAATACAGTATCTACTTTCCCCCATCATATAGATAAGGAAATGAGATTTAGATTAGTATCTTGCTCCAGGCTCCACCTAATAAGCAATAAAATAGCGTCTTATTTTAAAATCTGCTAAAATATGCTTATCTGCTGAGCTATAACATCTGTGGATTCTTCTCTTCTATTTTTAGATCTAGGGTCTTGCCCTCATTGAAAATTTACACCTGTCATCTCTGAACCTTACTTCCATGCATGAGTACTTTCTGGAACTTATTAAGCATGCGAACATTTTGAATATTATTGCCCAACAGGTACTTGGTTACTTTTACATGAAGACAGAAGACATAAGCAATGTTAAAAGGTTCACTGAAAGCAGCAAATGATTATCCCTTAACACAGACATATAAACAGGATCCCCAGATGTGAATTACCTTTTTGTTTTGGCTTTAATCATGATACTCATGCAATCATGGGATTTTTTACTTGTTTAACTGGATGTGGTCAAACTCCAACCCATTCATTTGAGTGGGGCTCATTGGAGTGGTTCCCTGTGGAAAGTACTGGTGGAGTGTTCATTAGCATTTTTGTATTCTAGTTTCCACTCCTAGGCTCATTCTAGTACATACACCATGCTGACTGGCAAAATTTGGATTTCATTTGCATGGCAGACTTTTATACAAATTGCATAACAAATTAATAGCTTTCTTATTTCAAGGAACACTCTTATGTTTGTGATTTTTATGAGACAAATGTTTTATGTAGTTTTTCAATTTTTTAAAATTTTAATATGTTTTTTGAACTTAAACAGGAATATTCCTGCATCCCTCTGGCAAAGGGCAGTGCTCAGGCAGAGAGCACTCTTCTGGAAAGGAAACAAAAGATGGATTGAAATTAGAACATATCTCGTTTCTCTCAAAGCCCATACATTTCCACTTAGTAGTCATGCAGAATCTCCTGTATGTCAGGCATTGTGCTAGTTGCCTCATGTAACTGCATCATATTAAATCTCCAAACTCCTTCAAGGGTTTACTTCCATTTGACAAGTGATGAAACTGAGGCTCAGGGAACTGAGGTTCCCACCCAGGGCCACATGACATGTTGTGGAGACAAGGTTCAGCCCGTGGTTTGTTTGACCTGGAAGCTCACATTTCCAACATGCTCCCATTCGCCTGAGCTGCTAGTCGTGATTTAATAAGAAAGTTTTGTTGTATGCATGAATGCTATTCATTTCAAAAATTTTTAAATAAAGATTCCCAGCTCTGGCTGGGTGGCTTAGTTGGTTGAAGCCTTGTCCCGTACATCAAAAGGCTGCGGGTTCAACTGCTGCTCAGGGCGCGGTATGGGAGGCAACTGATTGATATTTCTCTCTCCCTCTCTCCACCCCCCCTCCCCCCACTTCCTGTCTCTCTCTCAAATCAATAAATATGTTCTCAGATGAGGATTCTTTTTTATAATGAGGATTTCCAAATAGAGCTTTCTTTTCACAAATCCTCGTCTGAGGTGAACTGCAGTGTGGCCACTGAACAAGGGGAAAATCAGATTGGAGCGTGGAGCATGATTTTCCATTTTCTCTTAAATAAAATCCAAATTTCAGCATTTTTCACAGACATACTTGGCTTTTGACAGAAATGCTGAGTTATAGAGGACAGTCACTAGCAAAGATGTTTAAAAATTCACTTTCAGTTAATCAGGAACTTTTCTTGTATAGAAATGCAGGCAGTGTCATCTCTTCCTGATGCCTGTTTAAAATGTGTAGTAAGTGAAGTAGGAGCAAATACCAGCAAAGATGGAGAGAAGGGGGGGCTTTGCTGCTTTTTGAAGCATTTCAAGTGAGTCAACATTCATACCAGTGTGTAAGCTAGAGCATGAGCTCTGAAATAACTTGTGATTCAGGTGCCTGTCACCTCACAGGGCCTTCAGAACAACTGCTGTGACTTCCAGGTGTCAAAAGCCCCTCTGCCAACTCTCAGACTTTCAGGTTTAATGATGGGCCGTGTTTGGGATTGCTAGCTGCTGAACTAGAAAAAATACTTTAGGGTTGGAAATTCAGTCCCTGTGTCCTTAATTTTCCACTCTTACCCTATCAACCAACTGCTTTTTTTATCCGCTACGGTTTTGAATAGTTGTCTCCTACATATTAATGGGAGACATTTTGGTTTTTTTAGTAGATGACAAAGTAAAGGTTTTCAACACTCAAAAATACCACAGACCAGTTAGAAATAATTCCTTATCCTTCTGCTCTGGTTCGTGTTAGGCATTTAATAAGTGAAATGAGTACCATGATCCTGTCAAGGAATAATGACAAGTGATTGTGTAACCCATTGCCCAGGGAGCATTTGCAAGGGTGTTAGCTCATGGAATCCCCCCATTACCCACAGAGGAGAGAGAGGAGGAAGGGACTTGCCTAAGCTCACAAAGTGGGCGTTCCTTCAGTCCCCTAGCCCAGCGACTTCTGCCCCACACAGATACATTCAGTGCACATTTTCTTCACAGCCTGGCAAAGTATGCGAGAGAGTTTGAAGGAATGGCCCCCTCGGTCATGGTGTAGGAGGGAGTCGCAGTTTTATGTGGCTCCAGTTGCACATCGTGTCCCCTCTCTGTTAATCCGGGGCAGGGGCTGGGGGGAGGTGGGTATAGATGTATGTGTGTAGAATGATGAAACAGATATGTGGAGGCTTACCAAGCATACACAACCTAGGTTCCCTAAGAGCGACCTCAGCTTTTCCCCACAACAAGTGATAACAAAAATAAGGTAGCAGGAAGTACTCTCAGTGCTTTCTTTCCAAAAGTTTCAAACCACTTTCTATACTCGGGGTCCTCATATCTTTCATGAGAAGCATGTTTTATTTCACCCCAAAGGTTTGTAGTCTCCAGGTTAGCTGGAGTGAAGGATACCTGGTTGGGTACCTGAAGGGTGTGGGGAGTGGACTCTGAGGGAACAAGGGAGGGAATTTGTGGTGGGTAGAGCCCTGCCCCTCACTACCTTATTTGGAGTCTCTAAGATCCATTAAGAGGAAGTGTGGTAGGGCCTTCAACATGAGAGGCTGATTTTCAGGTTGAGGCAAGATGATTCTCCTTTTAAAGGGCAGGAAAAAAGTTCAGAGCGAGTAAGTCATTTTTCCGACGTTCATTGATATGATTGACAAGATTCCAGAAAACCTAAGACTCTAGTCCCCATTAGTCCATCTAAACAACACACATTCAAATCTAAATGTCAAGAGAAACAGAGGGACCTATGGAAAGAATGTGAGCTTTGGCTGTGGGCAGATGAGAGTTCCAACCCTGTGCCTTTCCTAACTTCTTGATCTTGATTCTTGACAGGTTCGCTTCTTGCCCTGATTCCCAGTTTGCCTGTAAAATTAAGACAAAAATCCCTGCCTGTCCTAATTTATAGTTATTTTAGGAACTAAGTACATAAAATTCTGCATAAACTATAATATATTTTATAAATGGGAAGTGTCATTTCTTTTGGAAGCAATATGTTTGAGTATGTATCCTTAAGGGTACATACTCCAAACTTGCTGTCAGGTTTTAAAGACATTTTTTATGTGATCTTGAAAATGAGAACAGCCATGAATTGTATGTAATCTGAGAATAAAATCAGAAGATGAACATAAAAATAGAAGATTTAATTTTTTTTCCATTTTGGCATAAGTGGAAAAGTAATGATTTTAGCTTGGAGATAATCAATGTGACTTTTTTCCTTTCAACTTCCTTTTTGCTTTATTATTCTTGAGATTTTGGACTTACATGCTGGCTTTACCCTCTGTTTCCATTATAGGAAATTGATGGAAAATCCCTGCTATTGATGACGAGAAATGATGTGCTGACAGGACTTCAGTTAAAATTGGGGCCTGCTCTGAAAATCTATGAATATCATGTAAAACCTCTGCAGTCAAAGCATTTAAAGAACCACTCTTCGTAGTACAGTCAAGCTGGGGTCTCAGACCTCAAAAAATACACAAAGACATAATTCAGTTTCATGTGATGAAACTTTGTAAACAGAATACATACATGTGTATATGTAAAGAATTTCAACCAAATGAAATGTTATCCTATTGGATAGACTAGGCAATCCATCAGCTGACCTGAATTCAGCTAGGAGGAGCAAGGAGAACATGAGAACGTGTGGACAGGATAGTTTTCCTTGTGGAGTTTGTCAAAGAGAGTGAGAGAAATCAATCTTTGACATGATTAGATACCCTTCCCCAGAAAAGCTTTGAAATCATAAGGATTTTCTTCATTTCTTCATAGATGGCTTTCCCAAAATTCTTTTCAAAAATTTGGTGGAATAAGCATCTTTTGGTTACAGACTTGGGAAGGAGGAAAAAAAGAAAAAGATTGATGTCTCCCTTTATTTCCTCTGCTCCTTAGAGCTTGTGTTACTGGGATGGAATTGCTGACACCCTTTTTATAGAGGGTCCTCCACTTGACCTTATTAAGGTTTCACTGGGATATGCTGCAGTGTTTGAAATGAACATGCATCTTGGCCCCTTCAGGAGAGAACTGTGGCTCTAAAAGAAAAACTCCGTTGTGTATTGGGGATATCCATCCATATTCAGCTAGCTTTCACAGGGGCTAATGGTATTTTCTGTATAGAATGGCTTTTAAATGGGTTCTTTGTTTCTGAAGAAAGCATTTTTTCACTTTATGGTTGTATTTATAATAATTTGTTTCTGAAGAACTTTGCCAAGGGTTACAGATCAAAAAGCCTTGTTACTAGTACAGAATATTTTTATATGTATTCCTTCATGATGGTGTAATATTTTTTTAATTGCTCTGATGCTTTATTTGATTCCTGGTTTGAGTACTTGTTTTTAAAAACTTGAAGAAGTGGGCTTGCTACATCTCTGTTCAAAGAGACATTTGTTCAATCTCTGTGTGTCAATACCTTGTTGGATTGGTGCTTTGTGGTTGCAATAAAGCATTGCTTCAGTTTATTCCTGGTGTACGTTTGATCTTTTCCGTTGGTTGCTTCAGCAGTTGGTATTAAGGATTAAGGTCGCCCCTTAAAACCATGGGAAGAAATTTAAACCTTTAATAAATGTGGAACTAGGAAACAAACAGATGTATTTGTGGATTTATCTTCTCTACAAATGGAATCGTCTCAGTATGCTGTGTTCCGTCTCGTATCCCCACCCAACAGCAAATTTTAGGTGTCCTTTTAACTAAAGATTTTTGTTGCTGTTCTGTTTTGTTTTGCTGTAGACCAGTAGGGGTCATGATTTTTTTTTGGAATTTCTGATGAAAGCTATGGAACTTCCTCCAGACAAAAACTCATATTCCCACATACAAAACTTTGCAGAGGTCATGGACTCCTCAAGTTCCCTTCCTTCCCCTCAAGTTAAGAATCACTATTTTAGAAGGGGTTACAGTTCACTTCGCTGTGGAGATCATTTAGAGGATACAAAGCCTGAAGATGAGAGTGAGAAAACATAGGAAATGGTATGGTGAGTGAGGTTCAAAGATTCATTCCAAATTAATTGGAATGTGAAGTTCACAGAGTATTTGAAATTTACTTATTTATTTTTCTTTTCACATATTTCTCTGTTTATTGAATTTGTTGGGGTGACACTGGTTAGCAAAATTATACAGGTTTCAGGTGCACAAGTCTACAACACATCATCTGTATACCAGACTGTGTGTTCGCCACCCCAAGTCAAGTCTCCACCCATCACCATTTATTCCCCGCATACCCTCCTTCACCTCCCCCGACCCCGGCAGTCACCACACTGTTGACCATGTCCGAGTCCTTTCTCGCTTTTCTTTGTTGCTCCATCCTTCCACCCTCCCTCCCCAGCCCATCTCCCTCACGGCTGTCAGCCTGCTCTCTATTTATGAGTCTGTCTCTGTTTTGCTTGTTAGTTCATTTTTGTTCATTAGATTCCACAGATGGGTGAAATCATATGGTACTTGTCTTTCTCTGACTGGAAATTTAAGTAATGCCTTGTTTTTACACTTTACGTGGGGGAGGGTCACAAAAGATATTTTCTCTCCCCAAGTTCTCACCATGTACCTGTGACAGCAAACAGAAACATACACGATTAAAAGGCAGAATATAGCCCTGTGAGGGGAGAGTAGTAAAAGGTGAGAACTGCACCTGCTGGAGACCTAGGTGGGAAAGAAGGGACAGGAGCGCAAGTAGAAGAAGGGAGATGGACTGAAGAATTTGATTAACCTTCCTGAAGGTGTTTTCCACAAGTGACATAGTGATGCTGTCTGAACCCTGTACCTCAAAGGGACAGCATGAGGAGTGTCCAGGTCCCGCTTCTGTGCATCCACCTGGTACCTCCTGTAGCAGTTTGGAATAGGCCTTGGCTGTGAGTGATAAAAACTGCCTCCCCTGCTCTTACCTCACCTCAACAGTAACGTAAGTGAGACCGAAGCTTGCTTCTCTTTATGTAAATGTCTAGATAGGGGAAACAGGCATTCTCTGGTATGGTCCTCCATGAAGTTAGGGACAATATAGACTCCACCTCTCTTTTTGCTCCATTACACATGATACTCCTTCCTAGAATTTCACAGCATAAGGTGGCTGCTTTAGTTCTTGCCATCATTTAGCACTTGAATTCCAACCAGTGGGAAAACAAAAGGGAAACGGTACATACTTCCTTCTTTTAAGGACATTTCCAAGAAATTGTTCATAACACTTCCTCTGATATCTTGCTGTCCAGAATTTAGTCACATTGCCATAACTACGCTGCAAGGGAGCTTAGTTATGGTACTGAAATATTTCTTCTTTGTCTTAGAGACCATGGGCCCAGTTAAAATTCAAAAGTCCCATTATTCTGTAGATAAAAGAGAAAGAATATTGGGGGATGACTTACTGTCACTAGGCAGCTGGCCATTAAACACTTCAGGCAAATGACATTGAAAGTGTATCTTTAGTTGCGTTTTTCTCTAGATTTGAACGTGGGCTCAGACTCCTTTTAGTCGGGATGTTTTTATTGCAGTCACCTTTCACAACCATGGGAACCTTTGTTCATTAATCTCAACCTAACTCAGCCAAGCTTCAAACCTGCACAGCTCTACTTAAAAAAAAAAAAAAAAAAAAAAAAAAAGGAAAGGAAAGGAAAATATCTTAATTGAAAGGCGAACTAATGCCCTTGTTCCTCTCAAGGTGCACAGGCCCTCAAGTTCAGCCATAAAACTGTGTCTGAGGGTGCACACAGAAACACCCCCATCCTGGGCCCAAAACTGTGTTTTCTACACTGTCTCCTATTTATTATTCATTAACTGATGAACTTGACTTGCCTACCTTATCCTTTGATCTCTTGGCTTCTTTGGCATTTGGGGGCCGCTTTGCATTCACATCCCTCTCTCAAAACAAGCATTATCACTCTTAATGTTGAAGACAGCTTGATAAAGTACATATGTTTAGAAATTAAATGATAGAGAAAATTGTGAACCTTGATATCAGCTAGAAAATGAGGATTCTGAATTCAGGAGATGATGGTGTGGTATTTGCAGAGAAATGCTGATGTGGAAGAATTTGTCCATCTAAAATATGGCATGAAAAATTACTTCCAGTGGGGCCTCAAAGCCATAAATTCTGTCTCTGAAATGGTAGAATGCAGAATTCTCATTCTGTAACACCAGTAAACTGTGGAGAGCAGTAGAGTCTGAATGCAGGCATCAGAAAAAGCTCAATGGGAAGTAACATTTGGTATTTGGTGTCACTATTTATTTGTCATATGAAACAAGTGATAGAAGTTCACTTGTCTCCATGCATCACAGTTCTAGTTTTGTAATAGCTCCTAGGCTCTCTTGTTTTCTCTTATCACAGCCAGAACATTCGCCATACCTACCATAAATTAGCATTTAATCAATTTTAAAAAAAGGGAAAGCAAACAAAAGAATTAAATCATTTCTCAGCCTCTGTTGACAGCTTTCAGGCAAAACTAGCAAATTAAAGATAGTTTGCCTTTCTTACACGCAGAATGAAGGCCTATGACAGGCAAGCCTGAGTACCTTGGCAATAAGGGAAGCTGCTTTCATGCCTTTCCCTCTTACCCCCAATTCAGAGAAAAGCAGTGTGATCAAAATAGGCCATAGAAAGCGGCTGGAAGTACTTGAAATTCAGCAGGTAGGCAGCCTTTGTCTCCCGACAACAGCAAAACTAGAGCTGTCTGATTCCTTTTCCGATCACACTGGATTTCTATTAATGCGATCTGGGTCTGCAGCTAGTAGCAAATATGCATGCCACGTGGGGAAGCCCTTCAAGAATGCAAGTGGGCCTGAGCATGCCTTGATGCCAATAGATTTTATGTGAACTGTTTAATGTTGAATTTGATTATTTTTAACCAAAGGGGCTGACAGGATATCAGAACCACAAGGGACTCAAAAAAGTAATTGCCACTCCACCTCCCATCCCCACCCCACATCTGAACCTCTATGATTCAGACTCTAGAAAAGGCATTTAATGAACTGATTTAAAGGCAAGGTCACAGACTGGTTGCTTTTCAATAAAATCTAAGCTGACATGTTTTCCTTTGGCCAGTGTGTATATGTTTTCACAACTACATTTGCTTTCTTCTAGGTCAGGCTCCAATTTATTAACAATCTTTTAATTCCCTACCATTTTGCTGCCAGCGAATGCATAGTTCTACATTGACTATCTGGACCCTGAAAGTATAATGAAATTTAGACCCCTGATCTGAAGCAAAGAACACACAGACAGGCTCCTGCAGGTAAGCTATTTCAGGAACTAGAGATTACAAGCACAGTAAATTTCATTGGAAGTAAACTGGTATATTGCACTGGAATGTACAGCAGATATGAGCATCATTTTTGATGCTTAGTGGACATAATGAATATGATGAAAAAGAGACCAGTTGCTGACAGTCTCCTCATTCTGTCCTCAACAAATGTCCCACGTGAGCGCGGATTCTGTCCCTCTGAACTTAGTATACTCTGTCAGGGGCACACACTGTCCCTCCATTGCATTAGTGAAATATATCTTTGGAGGAACTTAATTTGGAAAAGTCTAATGACCCACAGTTATCCAGCCGCTCCCATATTTGGAAGCTGAATGCAAAAAAGTACTGGTAGTGATCCATCTGCCTTTGACCGTCATTGCAAATGGGATCTGCAGGGGTCAGGCCTGGGCACAGAGCCATTAACTGTTTTCTGTAATGACTGGAGGATGAAGTTAAATGTTCAAAGACCCGAG